TGAAGGGCCATAACTTCCTCAAAGCGAACCTGTGGGAAAGAGAGACCGCCTGTCATGTAGAGGAAGGTTTGATCTCCCTAAAATTACTGAAACGCCTACAAAGGTTCGTCAAAATCGCAGAGAAATCAGCGTTGGGGATTTATTGGGGAGCACACTTTTCGGATAGTTTGCAGTGCAAACTGGACAGGTTTGAAACTTAACATTTTACAAATCTGGAACCAGTGTCGAATTCTAGAAGATTTTCTCCTTTCCGAAAACTTCTTAAACTGTTTCTGAAGTTTCCGGGATTCATGAGATAATTGCGTTGAGGATTTTTTGGGGAACTTTCCGAACTGTTCGAAAGTTCGTTTTCTGTGTACGGTTTCAAGCGAGCGTGTTCGAATAGCCAGAAATACATGTAGAACGTATCCTGTGGTGGAGCAGGAGCAGGATGTGGTTTGTTTAGCGCCGAGAGGTCCGCGCAGAGGTGATGGGATGGTGCAATTTGAGCGTAATGTCTGTCCACGCGAGCAAATGTGTCTATAGGATTCAGGGAGGTCCATGGCGAACCTGTGCACTTGTTTTACAGTGTTTTCCGTTGCATATGGTGGAGCGTGTCCCTGTCGACGTGCTTCGTGCTCCGCCAATTGCTAATTCCGATAGAGGAGCAGGGCACATCATTGGTTGGGGGATTTTAGTCGACTCTGTACGACCCCCCCCCTTTTTTTGGGAGTTGGTACGACCCCCCTCCCCCAGCCCTCTGTCCTTCCTCATCGAATCACCAAAAGTCAACGCCGTTTGGACTCCAGAAATTTCGTCTTCGAGCTCATTTTAAAAGTGGCAAGATCACCAAATCCGCTAAAAACTTGTATATAGGGGTAATTCAACATCCTGATCACGAATATGACATTCATTTTTGGCGCTGGCGCTAATGGATGACACTACGGTTACCTCTGCTAAGGCTGAGCCCAGGAGGTAATCGTAGTGTCCTCTCTTGGCGCCAGCGCCAAGAATGAGTGTCATACTCGTAATCAGGATGTTGAATTACCCCTATATACAAGTTTTTAGTGGATTTGGTGACTTAGGCAATTTGAAAATGAGCTCGAAGACGAAATTTCTGGAGTCCAAACGGCATTAGCCAAAGTCAGCCACCACTCCCACAACGCCAAAACGTAAATACGACCCCCCCCCTTACAACGTCCATGAAGCGAGAAAAATCAACTATCAAAATAAATTTTTCCCAGCCCAAATACGACCCCCCTATTGGGGATTCCCCAACAACGATGTGCCCTGCGTGGGCTAATGCCGTTTGGACTCCAGCAATTTCGGCACCGAGCTCATTTTTAAATTGCCTAAGTCACCAAACCCGCTGAAAACATGTACACAAGGGTTATTTACCATCGTGATTACAATTATGACACTCATTCTTCTCAGCCTTAGCAGAGCGCAGGTAACCGTAGTGTCATCCATTAGCGCCAGCGCCAAAAATGAATGTCATATTCGTGATCAGGATGTTGAATTACCCCTATATACAAGTTTTTAGCGGATTTGGTGGTTAATTACTTGCAATTTAAAATTGCTGAAGTCCAATCGGCATTAGCCCGTGCATTCTGTGTTGGCTGCGGCCCCTGCATGAAACTTTACGGCACCATTATCGGTGATGCTCGCCTTCAAACTTCAGATTCTCTCATACCGTTGTTTCCGGTCTAGTGCACGCGAGAAGGTCTCTAAAAATATCCCAAGGTTCGTGATGCTGTGTCTTCAACGGCTTCTTCGCTACTTTCTTCGCGTAACCACTCATCTTACGAGTTTACAAATGTTGTCTCGTTCGCTTACCTCAGTTATTTGGTTAGTCCCTACAGCCTACGAACTGCAGTTGCGCATTTGATGGCCCTCTCGTATCATTTCATATGTTAAGGCAAGAGTTGATCTAACGGATTGCCAAATTCGTTTCACATCCTAAGTAGTTTGGTGGAGCAAATTCCTGCATTTTTTCGTTTATAATCTAGTCTGCAGCTGGTGCTTTGATGTCTAGTCGTAAATGCGCTCATCACCAGCTGGGAAGTCGACAAGTTTTGTTTTTCAGAAGTATAAAATTGGTACACCACCTACATCAGATGTGTTGAGTTTTCTTATCCCCTGCTGCATGTGCTAAAACTCGTGGCCCTAGGAACAGGCAAAAGCAACAAAGCTTTGTTTGCTGGAATGTGGGCCTAATTAGCAGCTCTTGCGCACTGTTATCGCAATCTACTACTTACTCTGCCTGGACAAGAGTGCGTTCATACTTTGCGTCAGCGTTCGGAGTTTCCGCGGACAGTCGCTGAAAACGCTGGCGTACGCTCAAAACGCTAGACCGATACCTGCACCCTCCTAGTCCTCAAAACCTCCAAGACGCTGACGCAAAGTATGAATGCAGCCTAAGGAAATTCAACGCTGAACTTACCAGGACACCTTATTGCTTCGTGACGTAACCTTACACGTTTTAGATGTTCTTATAAGGAGAGGGGGCAAGGTGGTTTTCAATTGCCTTTGGACGGCGCATAATTTTCAGAACTTTTCAGTTTCAATCACCAGAGATTGGTAATTCCTCTCCTTATTGACGCAGTTTTGTTATTGTAAACACTTTTTACATTGGTCCATTGATTTCAAGAATGAAAAAGTGCACAACTAGAACAACCCTGTTATTCTCATACCAGACATCAGCTGTTACATTACTACACCAGTGGTCATCATAACTGTTCGAGCGAAAACTGCACACATCATCTTATCTCTCGTCGCGTCCTTCTTGTTTTTCTCTTATCTTTTTCTCCCTTTTATCTTGCCCTCTTCTCTAGCACTATGAGCGAGAAAACATTTGAAACACTTCTGGTGCCCGATTCAAGTGTCGCATACAAAGGTTAGCTCTTCATTCGGAAAAGCTTTTTTGGAGTATTCAAGCAGCTTTTCCCGGTTGCTGCATTCCAGCTCATTTATTACTCTGTTTATGATGGTTGTTTATATCTTCAATAGCATTTTGATTTAGATCAATTTGGGACTTCGACCACTTTTCAGGGACGTAAGCTTTTGAGTGGTCTGCCTTGAGGGCACTTTGATGGGTGGCCTGTCTAGCGCCATAAGGCGCCGGCGCAAGAATGAATTCACCAAGTGATGCAACTTTGTATGGGAGTTAAAGGCAGCGTCCGCGATCAACCAAAGTGAAAAACCCTCCAATGAAAACGAACGCGGAGTACGCAACCACAGCGGAAATCCCACTCTTGCGGCTCGAAATCGATTGGTTGACGAGGGCGGAGTCAACAAGGCTGAGCTGACGCCTCCTTCCCTGTTAATCCCGCCCCGACTGGTTAACAGTTATCAGTGCTTGCTGGCATTGATAAACGCTAAGTTTCTGGAGTTCCGAGGCGGCGACGTGTATTGGAGAACTCGCCAAAGGTGTGCGAAACTCGTCCACATGCCTTAAACTTCGTAGGGTCTTATTTCACGCTCTTCCACACCTTTTTCCTACTTTTTTGATTAGTGCTTCATTGGCCACCTGTTCTAACAAATTTGACCCCTGAGACCTGCCAAAGTCCATCGCGGGCGCTGTCTTTTAATTGAGGTCTTGACCAACGTTTATTTTTTGGCTCTGGCCGCCATTTAGGCGCCATTACGCGCCAATGTGGCGCCATATGGCGCATGGCGGCGACAAATGGCGTCGCTAGCGCTTTTGAACCGTGTGGATATTCGTAAATCAGGGCGCTCAATAAACCCTCTTTCATTACCATGTTTTCATCAACTTTGGTGAAAAAAGTGGAGTGAGCGCCAAAATTGGGCGATAATGGGCGCCATATGACGCCAGCGCTAGAAAAACGAGTGTGATTTTTTGACCAGGGCATTAGCAATTACACTTTACAGACCACGTTTCAGCAGAAAATTTTTTTTTGAGTTTATGGGGGCCAGGAAATAGTTCCAATGTGCCAAAATCAGTGATCCAAGATGCGTTTCATAAGTGTAGCGTTTTTTAGGGGTTCGAGCGGCTTAGAAAGTGGTAGGCCTACTATAGCGTACCCACTAGCGTACGGCGTGTTTTGGGTTTTGAGCGACCAGGAAGCACAGATCATCAATCCAGTGTTTTTGAGCCTCAGGATTCGCGATGCCAAAACCAGGG